TAAGGTAGGTTTCCATTACAATACCTTACTGATGAGTCCAGTAGTGGAAACCGGGACGAAACGCCAACTCGTGTATATTCTTCGCAATCATACTTTTCACAGATTTTAGATTCATCATTACTTTAACATTTAAATTGTTAAATTTTAATATATGTCTTCCAACATATTATTAAAGATCTAATAAGATGCTATATAGATGCATCAAATAATTGTTAGATATGCGGTAGCAATTTAACTAAAAAAGTGATATTACTGCGGTAGTTGTTTAAGTATTGCGTTGTAAGTCTGAAAAATTTTCGGCACGTGATTGTTGACTACATACGCGGTATATAAATTCACACATTATAATAAGCATGGTAATCTAGCTTTGACCGTAGATGGCTTAGTAAATCGTAAATTATTACGGTTTCCTTATTCTTGTTAATTACTTAAAATTAGAAAAAAATTTTGACACCTTTCAAATTGTTTTGTTTGATTATTGCATCTTGCCTTTATTAGTTGTATTTTTATATCTTGCGTTTATTGTATAGATTCGTACGTCTTACCTTTATTGGATGCATTATTATATCTTGACTTTTTGTTGGGTGGATTGTTTATTACATCTTGCGCCTTTATTGGATGTATTGGATTCGCCATTTGTAATTTTTTTAAATTGACTTCAAATTCGTATTCAGCGACCCCAAAAAACCCCGAGTAACAAGTTTTAAGTAGATCCAATGAATTTTAACAAAAATTGTCCACCATATTGGATCCGCCATTTTGAATTTTGTAAATATGACTTCATATTTATAATCATCAGCCAAAAATCTTAAAAGATCCATTTAGGCTGAATTTTTTAGACGTTATTGTTCGAATTCAAATGTGGAATTGCTATATTCTTTATTGGACATGGTCATCTTTAATCCCCCCCCCCCATTTCCTAAACGGGCTATATGCTCATCTTGAAATTTTGCAGGGATTTTATTGGGTCATCATATGTAACTATTTGGCATAATAAAAGTTTCAAAAATCGAAGTACCGAAAACAGGCATTTTTTGATCAGGCTCTTTTCTCACGTCGGAATGTATTAGCAATTAAATATTACGGCGAACATGGTTTTTTCCGTGAAGATCAAACATGGGATGAACTGTCAAAAATTCTATTATTAATAAATGATTGGTTTGATGTATGTAATAGCCAAGGAAAATATATGGTCAACACAGTCAAGCCTACGGAGTTGAACTTAAAAAACCAAAATGAATCGATTTGTTTCGAACTTGAGAGTAAAGCAAAAAAGTAATCTACTTTCTTTTCAAAAGGGTATATTGCTAACGAATTCTTCTTTAAAAGGATTGTTGCAATAAAAGAAACATATTCTTTCGATAACTTCAAGCCTGAATATATTATCACCAGACGACTGTGCCAAGATGCACTCGAAAATTTCTTTTCGTACATTTAGAGCAATGGGAGCCGGTTATGATCATCCAACACCCGTCAGAATTCAGTACAGATTAAAATCTTACATCCTCGGGAAACATTCAGATGTATCCATTGCACAAAATACTGAAGATGATCCAGATACGCATTCTTTCATGGATTTAAATGACTTGCATACGGATGAATTATAGTTGCTCTCTTCGTTCGAAATCTAATAAATTTGATACATATAGTTCATCGAAGCATAGAACGGCAATCTTATCAGCAGCTGTTAAATTTTCACCCTTTGAGTGCGTTATCTTCAAAACGTTCTTCAACAATCCGGGTCTCATGTCAAATGATGCAGCCTACTTTCGCAGTGTGGATTCACAAGGCAATGGCATTTGTTTCACTTCTCGCAAGTATTTGTACGTTCTACCACTTAATGATCGGAGAGCAATTGCAGAAGATATATCCTCGGCTGACCAAGTAATCCTTTTTCTTTTTTCTGCAAACAGTTTTGTTACTTGCCTTGGTGTAAATATAGAATTTAATATTGTTGCAGTTTTTTGTTCTGCTTCTTTTCTAAATATTGTAAATTGGCTTCATTTCTCCTTTTCAGGACTTCTAAATCCTTGGATTTTATTTCTAATAACTATTGCAGCTACCCACATTTCGATTCCATTTGCTTCACTTTTTCCTCTGATTCGTTTAGCAGACGCTTCAATTTTTCAATTTCTGTTTCTGGTTCATTTCTGTAATATATTAAATTGAACTAGAACAACACATTAATTTTTCAGATTTATTCATTTTTAAGGATTTCGTTTATATATAATTTATTAAATTTTCAATGAATTTTTATTTATTTTGATTATTTTATTAAATTTATTTTACTTGATACTAATCAACAAAGGGCGATGTAAGAGTCAAATGATAAAAATTCATTTAATGTAATGTTAAAGTTTGAAAAGTAATAAAATACAAATATAAAATAACTAAAAAATATATAATTATAAAAATTACTTAAAATTAATT